TGCCCCCCGGCCCTCTTTCCCAGGGGCAGGCTGGGTGCTGAAGATGCCCCTAACCTGTAAGATCGCCCCAACATCAGACACAGCGGCCGCTTTAATTCACTCTCCCCCCACCCTCTTATTTACACAAGAGGTTCAGAGAAGTCAAAGCCGGCTTCTGCGAAAAGCCCTCGCTGGAGCGGAAGAGGAAGCCCCGGGTTTATCGGTGCCAAGCCAGGCGTTACTGGAGCACTGCAGCTTCCAGGAAGCGCCAGCAGCCCCGAGCCCCTTTGAGCCCTCCGGCACTTTTGCATATTTCCATGGCAAAGGCCCATCTTTGCATGAGGGCCCCACCACACCCCGGGGGACCGAACAGGCCCAAAAAACAGCCTGCAAAGACACAGCATTAAAAAAAACCCCACAAACCAAACAAACCCCACACAACAACAAAACCCACACCAAAAAAAACCATTTTGCAATATCTGCATAGCAGGGCTGAGCCACCAGCTTGTTTTCAGCAGCAAGGCCCTTGCCAGCGCTGCAGGAAGCTGTCACCTCTCCACTGTCTCGCCCCATCTGCTGTAAGGCTTGATGGCCCATGAGGCTGGAGCCACCAGCACAGCTTTTGGGGCAGGGAAGTGCTTTGCCCCTCCGGAGGGGGGATTTTCCAGCCAAGGTTCCCACAGCAGAGCTGGTCCTGGCAGGAGGAAGCTGTTCATCAGACCACTGCCCAAACTACAACTGCACGTAACCAGGCCGCACCCTCCAGCCCTGGGCAGGCCACGCACTTCCTCCATCCGCAACCTCCAGGAATCGAAACTTGGGGGACGCAGGGCAGGGAGCAGTTTTGGGGAGCAGGGTCCCCCTAAAGAGGCTTCCTGGGCAACTGTAACACCAGCTTGCTCTGCCCAGGCAGAGAAGGGACAAGACTAATACCAGACAACCAAAGCCACAGTGCATCTCCCCCTTGGGAAGGGATGAGGCGCATGGCACACAGCCAAGCTCTGGGAAGAGTCCCCTCTGCTCAGGGATGCAGGTCCCCGCCTCGTCGACACAGAGGGCGATGAGCCCCAGCCGCCAAGCGCGGGCACCCAGCGAACCACGGCACGCTTCAGGGCACTGCAAGAAAAGCTGCTTCGGAGCGTGCAGGCACTGAGCGCAACGGACTTTCCCCACCCACGTATGGTGAAGAGCATCTCAGCACAGAGCAGCCCTGGGGAGCCCCGACAGGTGACACAACACCCAGAGATTTCCACAGCCCACAGAGGCTTTCAAATGAGCAAGAGGCTATAGGGTGACCCACAGGCAACATCTGTACTAACAGGCCCACACCAGCAAAACACAGGAGCATTCAGCACGTTAGCATCTCACTACAGGAAACAGCAAGCTTTATACTAGAGGACTGAGAACAAAAGACATTTATTGACAAAACTAAGTGCTTGTTCAGCAAACAAGCAGGCCCGAAAATAGCACCATCTTTCAGCTCTCCACTTGGGTTTCCCTTGGGCATCTCTTGGGCTGCAGGTCAAATACCATGTGCGAAGATGTTCCTTGCTGTGCAGGACCCAGTCCCACAGAGTAAAGCTCCCCAAGGCCCAAATAATCCTGCCAGAGGGCAGGAGGCAGACGAGCGCTGCAAGCCCACCAAGAAACAACGCTACCGGCTGAGGACCAGGGACTGAGCCCAGCACCGGCACTGACAGACTTGCACAAGCTGCAGATCCAAGCCGACAAGTTTTATTCTGCTCCAGAATGTTTACATTCAAACATCAGCTCTGTTGGACTCATGGCTTAGAGGATCAAAATGAAGGGAAGACAAGGAAGCGACCAATACCAACTTCCACAGCTCCCCACCCCCTAGAAGGGCTAGAATAACCAAAAGGATTAAAATAAAAACATCAACAGTTGCCAGCAAGCTGTGGGCACAATAAGAGCCCACCAGGCCACTGATCCTTGTTACATGCCCTGGCAACGTTTGCTCAAGTACATCAGAGAAAGGCTCGTTGGGAGTCAAGGCAGGATTAGGCTTCGCCACAAAAATGCTACTTCACATGAGGAATGAAGTACAGTGCACCCATCAGCAGTTCTACCACATTCAAAATTCCTCCTTTTGTATCATTAGCTCTGTAAAAATGTACATATTCTACAGATGTATAGATATTTACAGGTTGTCTACAGCCTTCTCACCCCATGTGGGGTTTTACATACAAATGCACACTCTATTTTTAAACTGCCTGTGTGTGGCGAGTCGCATCGGTGTAGCTGAAATCAGACAGACAGGCCAATTCGGCCACGCCCCAGATGGCTGTGGTCGCAGCCCTGAGCCCTGCCCAGTTGTTGTCCCCCGCAGTGCTCCTCTGCCTGCCCAGTGACCTGGCTGAAGCCCTGCAGGGAGGGAAGGGGCCGTGCAGGGCTCTGGCGCTCTGTGTTCTGGCAGCAGGTCACACGTCTTGGCTGCTGGTGCAGCTTTGCTGCTTCCAGAAGGTGGATGATGCCTGCAGAGCCAGCAGTGGCCGAAGGCCTGGTCACCAGCACACCTGAGGGTAGGCGCAGGCTCACACAACACCCAGCACTCAATGCTTCTTCTCCAACAGAAAAGCCGCAAGTTTAGGCAGGACACCAGCAGCAGAAAATGCTATTTCCAGAAACCCACAACCGCAACCCTGAAACATCTGCTCCACGCACAGCTGCTGTGCCAAGCCCAGGAGGCTTCAGTCCAGACAAGAGCCGCTGGTGCTCACTGGCTTGCTGCTAAGCAGATTGGTTCCCTCCAGGATAAAACTGACGCAGTACACTTGAGCTTTCTGTCATCACCCTTTTCAAGGAAGCAGAATATCAATTCTTCCACCTGCTGTTCCCAAAGCAATAAATCCTCATGAGATTGCTCAGGGGATGCCTAGATATTCTCCTCGGGTCACTCAAGTCCAGCTTCGTAAGTACTCACAGAAGGAAGCGATCAGCTTGCCAGCCCCGAACAGAGCTGGTCCACCCAGAGTTTTGTCCATCCGCAGCATACCCTGGCTCACCGGATCATGTAGGCCAAGCTCGCCCCCAGTCCAGCCACACCTGCAAACGCCATCAGTACGTTTCTGATGCTGCCTTCTAGGTCCTCAACTCGAAAGAAGTCGACAAAGCCCTCCTAGGAGAAAGAACGGAAAGTCATTCCCCTGCCAGACACCCTTCTTTGGCAGGAAGGCACGGAAAGCCTTTTTCCCTGGCAGAGTGTGCTGGGGTACAGCCTGCCCAGCACATCCACTGAGTGCGCTCCCCCAGACTCATTACAGCCACAGCCCGCCCTGCAGAGGTGGCCATCAGCAGACAGCACCAACACAGCTATGGACCAGCTTCAAGCAAGCTCAGTGCACCCAGGATTGACTCAGCTGTGGGAATGGTGGGCCCTCCACCATGGGCAGGGGCACATTAAGTCAAGACTGCTTCAGGCAGCTCATTATAAGGACCTCCTGAAACAAGAGAACTCCAGCTAGATGTTTCAGACTGTGGTTTTTAACTGGAGCTGTGAGTCATCTCTGTGCTTTGCTGACACACACGGCTGTCAGTGAGCAGGTCACAGAAATAGGAAAATACTGGATTGTTCTGAAAAGCTTAGACTGTTCAGGACAGGCAGTGACTCACCCAGCCTCCCTGGCTTATCAGCCACTCGCGCTTAGATGAGACGAGTGCATCCGTGATGATCCCTGCCAGTGAGCCAATGCACTTCTCCTGGTTTATGCTTTTCAGGTGTTTCGCAACAAAGGCACCAAACGAGATGAGCGTCACCACTCGACCCCAGTTCGTTACTCCATCACTGAACACGTGGGCAGCCACCTCACACACAGATTGTAGATCTTCCTCTTTCTGGATTTCCAGCTTCCGAAGCAGCTAGTTTAGAGGCAGGCACTCACATGACACCAAGTACCCTGCAAGGCCACCAGCAAGAAGATGCAGCTCCCGCACTCTAGGTCCAAAAGTGTCAGCGACAGAAATGAATTACCTGCCCATAACCCATTACCAGCCCATAACCCATTTCTAGTTCCTTCCTCCCCACCTCAGGCACAGCTGCTGTCTCTGTGCGCATCACATTCCCCTATCTCACAAGTGCTTTAAAGCCCCACCACATCAGAACCACAGCACAGGAGTCTGTTCGCAGCCTGGTGCAAGCCCTGCCCCTCGAGCCCAAATGAAGGACAGTCAGCTATGGCCAGGCAGAGGTGTCACCATTTTATGAATGTGGCTTTAGTGACTGGGACAACAGAAATCCCCAGTTTGACCTGCAGTGCCCCCTCATGAATAAGCAAACAAGACGAGACAAAACTGAAAGGCATTGCTTGTTGTTGCTCAAACTAACAGGAAGCCTTCCCGAAGCCAGTTCCTTTTCTGTAACCGTCCCTGCAGAAGCCTCAGATACCAACACCAACTCGCACTGGTCTCAACATTCCTCCCAAGCATGGCTCATTCAACAAGCATGGCTGTGAATTTAGCCAGGGTAACTGAACTCACAGCCTTTCGCATCAGCACAGCTAAAGGACACAAGGAAGAAACTCAAGCTCTTTCCTTTTAAAAAAAAAAACAAACCCAAAAAAACACACCCAAAACTGTTACATTCTCCTGCAAGAAGGTATGTGTTTTACCACACGGTGTCTCAAGAGGAAATACAGACACTACCCTTCTGTGTCAGGCACCATCCCAATCCGGGATCAGATGTGGTGGTGTGCACCAAAAACAGTCCCAGCACGACCCCCAAGGCTGGGAGTTTGGCCCCACCACCAACGGCTCAGGATAGCCCCAAAACTGCTCGTTTCCAAGTAACACAAAACCAGGTCAAAGTGGTTGGTTTTCAGTTCCAGTCCATTCCCAGGACACCCTGGAGCGAGGACTCCTGCTCATCCGAGCCCAGACACTGGGCTTCAAGTTTCTACGGCTATTCTAGGACTCATCGAAATGGGCAAAATAGCTATAACCCAAACACATTGTCCGGGAGAATTTCTCCCCCTGAAACCATGTTCCACTCGACCCAGGGGTGTAAGGAGTTTACACTCCTGAGCTAACTAATCTTTGGACCCTTGAGATTATTTGCATACAGTCATGCTGAGCAAAGCAGGACGCAAGCAGGAACTGGGGCTAATCTGTAACTAGATTATCGCCTCTGCACACACTACCAGTGGTTTTTTCCACCTCCCAGTCGAACAAAGTTCAGTTTCATTTTTAATCACTTCTCAGCTGTTTTAACTCCCTCGAAACCAGGGCCACATCCCATCCAGCACCTGACCCGGCCGAGAGCTCAGGCACCTCCCCGCCTCCACTTTGACCCAAGGGCCAGCTCCGGCCTAGGCCTCCCCTAGCCCCGGCCACGCAGCAGCCTGCAGCCCACCCACCTCGAGGGCCCACACACAGGGCAGAGGGAGCAGACACGGGGACCCACATCCCC